AAAAAAAAATCAGTGGATGGCTGTTTTCTGACTGGTCGGCAGACCGCCGACCGGTCGGCCCTACTGATCGGCTGCAAAATGGTTGGCAGGTATGCAACCCTGGCGCAGGGTGAGAACGCCCCCCCCCCCCCAATCCCCAAAAGTTTCTCAGCGGATTTGGGCTGTACTCAGCAAGTGCAGTACAGCCCCCAACTCAGATTCAAAAAAAAAATCAGTGGATGGCTACCGGTCGGCCCTACTGATCGGCTGCAAAACGGTCGGCAGGTATGCAACCCTGGTGGCAGGGTGAAAAACACGACAATGGGAAATAACAAACTGTTCAACCCTCAAAAGGTGCGGCGGGGTAAGGGACACGATGGGGAATAACAAACTTTTCAACCCAAAAATTATGACTCTGTATCTTTCCATGGTACAGCAGAAGATTCATTTTGCTGTCGAGTGCTGCGCCGAGGCCAGTAGCCAGAGCTCATGACTTGTTGGGAACCTGCTTAGCTATGTACTTGTGTCGAACAGATGGGCCTCTGTGTGGCCAGCGCCAAGAGGCCCGGAAGCTACCGAAACAACACCTGGAGAAAAGAACTGGCGCAAAAAAAAAAAAAACTCAAGAAGGAAAATAACAGAGCAACCTGGGACACCTCCAGAAACGCCACAAAACGACAAAATGCGACAGAAGACCAATGGGGGAAATCGGGAAACCGAAAAACAAAACAAAAATACACCTCTGCCACTTTCCTGTATGCATCTGACAGCGATCATGTCCACGGTCGGGTCAGCTATGCCGCCTGGGTCATGCTGCGACGCACGTGTTTGAACATGCACCTGGAGATTTCCAGGCACTGCCTGCCTGCCAGCACCTCTCACGTGCCAGTGATTTTTGTGCGCACGGGGCGGGCGTCAGCTGAGGACCATTCCATTCTTTAGTAGTATCATAGATTATAGATACGAATGCGTAAAATACTAAGACTTCTCATGCATCCTCTACCTCCTCTCTTTTTCCACCTTATAAACCCTACCTTCCCTAAGTAATCAGTCCCTTCTTTAGTTATGGGAGAGTTAGTCTCCCTCCGCTCACCCTACCTCGTGGAATGCTTTGTTGTTGCTTGATCTTTTGCTATTTTTCTTTAGTGTTGCTGTTTTGCTCATGCGACCGCTTTCCTCGCTCCATTAGAGGAGATAGAACAGCTCTGTGTAGAGGTGGCAGAGATTGGCAGTGGTGGTGGAGTACACTCACCTGGAAGCGTACCTTGGAGGTCTGCCACCGGCCATATCCGGCCTTCTTCTTTGAGACATCTGCAGCGCATCAGTCGCTGAAGACTCTGCCCTTGACTAGTTAGTATCATCTCCATGTGTGTGTGTGTGTGTGTGTGTGTGTGTGTGTGTGTGTGTGTGTGTGTGTGTGTGTGTGTGTGNGAGAGAGAGAGAGAGAGAGAGAGAGAGAGAGAGAGAGAGAGAGAGAGAGAGAGAGAGAGAGAGAGTTGACACTGGACATTTGGGAGCCAGGCTCGCGGACTCAACTTCTGAGATTCATTTTTTGGAGCCGTACAGGAGGTGAGAAGATTGAGGTGGACGTGAGGCAATTATTATTTAGGCATTGCCGTACATTGGCTCTTCTTCTTGTTCTTCTTCTTCGTCCTCCCTTCCTCAATCTCTCACCTTGTATTTTGTCTGTGTAGGGAGTTGTCTCTCTGCAAGGGAGGTGGTGGTATCAGGAGCCTGTCGCCACTATGGAGGTGGTGTGATTGCTTACAATGTGTTCTTCCTTTTGGCATGTTCGTGATGAGCGCAGAGGATATGGTGGCAGCTCAGAAACCTGTTGCCCCCCCACCAATGCCAGCAGTGCAATCCCCTGAGCATGATCAGGGCGTTGTTTACGTCTGTGCTTTTGAGGGGTGTGGAAAGGTGTTCACAGAGGCTGCTGCGCTTCGCAAACATGCACATGTACATGGAGAAAAGCAGTACGTATGCCATTACGAGGGCTGTGGTAAGGTACTTTGTGGCACGGCTACCTTTTCCTTTGTCTCTATTTTACTTCTACCTGCTGTTTCCTTTTTACATCATGCACCGTCTGCAAGCAGCGGTTTGTTTGTTTTCTTCTTTGTTACCTCTGTGAAACGGAGCCATGACTTCATTTTGGGCTCTGCAAGCGACAATTTGCACAATAGTGACCATTTGCTATTTTCAAGCCGTGATGCGTTCCAAGCCGCTGCAAGTTGCAGCACTCACAGAACCCACTGCCTCCCCAGCGTACAAACTAATTGAAGAGTTATTGGTGTGTGTGTGTTGATGCTGAAGTGATAAACTCCCACCAAAGATGTATTTGGTCTCTGTTGTTGCAACGAGCATGAACTTCTTATGCTCACACCGAGTTGGACAACACACGAGACGAAATCCAGAGCCACCTGATATGAGAACTCAAGTTCTCCGGGAGACGGTGTTATGGAAGTGAATTTGTATATGCATCTGGCTGGGTCATGTTGTTTGCATTAGAGGTAAAGCTGTTTCACTTTTGGATCTCCTCATCTGGGTGGGAAAGGGGTTGTTGTGGTGGGTCGGTGAAAGTCTGGCCAAACAGTCTGGCACAGTCGTGCTTTTTTTGAGTGTATAGCATGGTTGCATACCTGCCGACTGCCGACCCCAACCCGACCGTATTGCAGCCGACCAGTAGGGCTGACGGGTCGGCAGTCTGCCAACCAGTCAGAAAACAACCATCCACTGATTTTTTTTCAAATCTGAGTTGGGGGCTGTAC